AAATCTGGTGCTCGATTTCGCCAAATCTGGTGCTAGAATTCGTCAAATCTGGTGCTCGAATTCGGCAAATCTGGTGCTCGAATTCGTCAAATCTGGTGCTCGAATTCGTCAAATCACCCCACCATGACCTTTGACAGTGGTGGACAAGCAAGACAAGCATTCACCATCTTATATCATTTGCAAGGCACACACACACATACACACCTTACAGAAGGGCACTGGGTATGGGGCAGGGGATGGGTGAAGTGAGGTATGATTCTGATCATGGTGAGATCTAAATTTTCAATCTGGGTCAACCCCAGCAATTCATCGACCAAAATGTCCCAAAACCAAGAGCCATTTCCAGCAATTCGCTGGTGCTCGTTTTCATGAACACACTTAATAAAAATCCCTTGTTGAACTGTTACTGGGACTCAGCCCCATCTAACGTATACCTATCGTGTGTTTGATCTGGTTCCCCTGGGTTCCAAAACAAAGAATTCTCTGCCACGAACGGTCCTGTCCTGTCCCAACCGACGAATTCTCTGCCACCGCCTGCGTCCCCCCAGGACCGGTGCAGGAAGGACTCGATGGACAATCCTGGCGGCGGTGGATTTTCACCGCGCCGACGACACCGAGGCGTTCCGCTCGCACGACGACCACCCGGACACCGAGGCGGAACGCCGCACGGCGCGGAACGTTAGCGAAGCTGGTAGAGTCCGTGACACGACACAGTCAGGTGCATGTGGCCTGATTGGGGGTCCATGGTTAAAAGCTGACGGGTCCAAAGATCCTCGTTTTTACGGGTGTTGGTCATATATAAACACAAGGATCCTGGATTCCTGGATGGTGTCGTCGTCCTTTCTCTTCCTTTCGAAAACATCTCCCGTCCGGATTGCGGACGAAAGAGACTCGAGTTAAGAGAGGTCGCAGTCCAGTTAGTTCGTTCTCCGCAGCAGGGAAGGTACACCTATTGTTATGTCATCAACCTACCAACTGGGCTGGATATGGTACACCTATGAGGACGGACACCTATTGTTACACCTATGTAACCGTAAGCCGTCCTCATATCCAGCCCCAGAGCTTCCTCGGAGCTTCCGTTTTGCTGGTTTCCATCGATCACTGTGGCGCTCCCTCGGCTTTCGCCCGAACCGCCGGACATCGGACACGGTGGACACGCGGGAGTCTGTTTGTCCAAAAAGGTGACTTCAGATGACTGAAGAGTGAGTGACTTCCTCTATTCTGAATTCTGTCCTTGATGTCGTATATATTTCTGGGATATCCGGATGGTTTCACTATGCTCTACACGAAGACAAGTGAATCACTCGAATCTTCAGATTGGGGAAATACACTCCCTGAAACAATCCATGGAAGCAGACGGATCCCTGGAAAGACCATGAAATCCTCGCAAACCTGAGGGGTGCAATCCACTTCCACCATGCTTGGAGGGTCTCGGATCTCGTCTCGAGGTAAGCGAGACCCTCTCAATCCACTTCCGCCTCACCTCCAAAGGCGCTCCGAAGTCGCAGAGCCACATTTGCCCTGCAAACCTCGGTGCACAGCGCAGCGCAGCAGCGCCGCGTCGAGCGGGCGAAGCAGCGCAGGGGATGCGTTCTGCAGGGCGCGTCCGACACAAGTTTGGGTGATGTTCTCCTGACCTCCAGAACCATGTGACATCATGTGACGTGAACCCGACCTCTTCTAGAAATCGGCATTTACAATTCCAAGCTCCGCCACACTTCCCACAGTCCTGGCCGACCTCGTGCAGGAGAAACCACTAGGACACCACCGGACTCACCCCTGTCTGCGGACCAGGTAGCAAATCTAAGACATTCTGCTCTCGATCGATCTCCCCCAGCAGGATCGACCTGGTCGAAAGAAGCGCCGTGGCGGAACGGGGCTTGGGGAAGCGCGGAATCGCGGAGGTGTTCGAACAAACCATAAACCAGGACCCTGTCAGTGACCTCTTCAGGATTGGTAAGTGACCTTTTCAAGGCCGTTTCGTGACCTCATTCTGACATCTCAAAAGGTCGCTGGGAAGGTCCTGGAACATGTCTTTTTGGATGTGTTTGTTCATCCTATTGCCGCAGAGTCTCACGACTTTTGGAACAATCCTGCTCGTGTGTTTGTGCACCTGGTTTCAACAAACAAACAACGAGAAACATCGAGAGATATCACATGAGAGAGACCCATGAGAGAGAGCCATGCATGGAACGTGAATGAACATGATGTGATTCTATCTTCATCCCAAACACCAGTTTGGGTTCATCGCTTCCCTATGAAACCGAAACCCTGGCCTTAAAAAGATGCCTTTTGGCCTGCCGGTCGGTCTACATACCTTCCCCCCCCTAAAAGTCCAGTCCTCACCGAGCCGAGTGGCTGAAGAAAGAAGTTCACACAGAACAACAGGTAGACCTCGGAAGCCCGGCACAGCCCGGAGCAGCGTCGCATCGAGCGAAACCGGCGCGGAACCGCCCGGGTTCAGCGCGGCGGAGCGAGCGAAGGAGGTGCGGTGAAGTGTTCGATCCGAGCTGTCCGGAAGTCCATGAATCTCCGATGTCTGCGGAATACCCGCCGATACGCTGGAAAGAGGATGTCCGCCCTGAAAGACCGTGAACTCCCAAGACCAAAACAGTGGGTCTTCAAACTGCACGTTGGACCATGGGCAGTTGGAGGGAGGGTAACTCAGAAACATGGGGAGCAAAAAGTCTGCATGTTCCAGCCATGTCACGGCGAATGGCAGGGGTCAGCCTATAGCCACATAGCTGGGTAGCATGCAAACGGCGTCTATGTGGTGATGTCCCTGGTGGCACGAAGACATCCTGCTCATACGTGGCACGAAACAAATCTCCAGACTGATCCATGTATCTCTAGTGTTTAAAAAGGCAGACAATGGCTGTTTCCACATGGCTGTGGGTCCAAAAAATGTCCAGACCGACCGATTGACCTACCCAGAGAATCTGCTTTTTGTTGACAATGCCTTCTTCCTGTCAAAAGCACAAGGCGTGGTCCAGTCAAGCTGTGGCTGAACAGCTCCAATGGAATAACTCCCTCAGCGCAACAATTGCACCACTTCCAAGTGGCCATTCCGAGCTGCAAGCATCAAGGCTGTTGCCCCACCTGCCCGGGCCGCATTCTTGTCAGCTCCAGCCTCGAGCAACAACCGCACCACTT